TCCAAATGCGGCGGCCACTACCTTTCAAGAAACCCGCATACATTTCCTAAGTCCTAAACCCCCTAAACTGAAGCCCAACCTACTTCCCTAAACCCTAAACCCTAAATCCTAAACCCTAAACCCTAAATCCTAAACCCTAAACCCTAAATCCTAAACCCTAAACTCCTAAGAACGAGGGCACCGGCGTTTGCGAACACCCTCGAAGATGCGGAGTGACGCCAACGGCAACCAAAAGGAGCCCCTTTTGTCCTTTGGTCTCATCAACAGCTCTTATAAGGGCCGTAACTCCTGAATAGTAACAATAGATTAGTAATCTTGACAGTAGTCACCCTTTGAATAAGACTCACAACTTGCACTCACAGCAGTTACCTGCCACAAGAATAAGAACCTGCTTCATCATCCTCACAATCATCATCAGGAGTATTTCTAACGTGATGGATGTACTTACGATAACAATCAGTGCCATCACCATCAACAACCATATAAGTAGAATGGGGCTTATCGTGCATGTTCTGGTATGACTCTGAATACGCGGACGGTCAGGGGATCTTCATTACCTAAACCCTAAACCTTAAACCCTAAACCCATTAACAGTTAGTATTCAGACCTCGTAACCGCGGGAACCCAATTTCAACCCTAGGCTTGGCCCTCAACCCTTCACCCTACACACTTGGAGGGGCAGGGACTTAGTAAGCAGGTTATAAGTAGAGTTATAAGTACCCTAAATGGAGTTATCCCAATTATAACCCTACTTCTAACCTACTTGCTAAGTCCCCTGCCCATCCAAGTAAACCCTACCTAACTACCTACAGGCTCATACCCTACCCCTTTTTGAGGACATCTAGTTTTATGGTTAGGATCTGCTCTATAGAAAAGTAGATACCCCGAAAAGGGGTAGGGTATCAGCCTACAGGTATATACCCTGAACCCCTAAACTCTTAAACCCTGAATATTATCGGGGCCTTAATAATTAGAATAGGGTTTGGGGCCCACTATGCTATCACTATAATGAGGAACCCCCAAAATAGCATAGGTATTTTTTAAGGCACCTACCAAAAAAGAACTCTTAAACCCTGAATACGGCTTCAGCCCTCGGAACCCAGAGACTCCAATATCCCTTAATTAAGGAAGATTCCTTAAATCATATTAGGGATCCTACCATAATTTAAGGTATATTCCTTAATTAAGGGTTTTGGAGTCTCTGGGAAGTCTCAGAAACCCCCGGGGCCCCGAACGGCGATGGAGCCTGGCGCGGTCTTCGTCTGCCAAGCAGCGCAACCTCAACGGTTGATGATATAAATCCTGCATTCCCCATAACAAGGAATATACAATAATTCCCATAGTTTAGGGTCCTTAAGGTAATGCAGGATTTATACCATCAACCGAAGCACTTCCCAGACATTCCAATATCCCTTCATTACGGAATGTACCTTAAGTTAAAGCAGTTACCTTAAATTAAGGGCAACTATAGGGGTTTTTGTAAAGGTTCCCAAAAAAGGATCTATAGGGTTGAGGCTTGAGGGGACTCCAATATCACTGACTTAATTAAGGAATATATCTCAAATGAACGCATATACCTTACATTAAGGATAATACCGACTATGTCTTGAAATATAGTAGGACCCCTAATATGATGCTTAAGTATAACTTCCTGCATGAAGGGATATTGGAAGGTGGGGGAGCTTGCCGGCTTAACGAATCCAGGCCCAGTGTATCGTAGAAGCCGCCCTTGATACATAGACTATGCTTTAGGGAATAGGGTTTTAGGGTTTGGGGAACACCTACTATAGAAGCCTACACTGTTCGGAGCCTGAAAAATGGAGCCTTCGTTTTCCTCATTCCCCTTTCCTTCTTAGGGGGTCTAGAGAAGGGACTTCCCGGAATGTTTGAATACATTACGATCCGGATTGATGTTGCTATGCTCATGATACCCGAACTGTCCACACCCAGGCTGCTCCAAACTGGTGCAAATGGGTAGCTGTCGAAATATGCCCAAACCAGGGTAATCCTTTGGGAGACTATATACAATTCTACTCCGAATACGGCAGCCTATGGTTTGGAACCCAGAAGATACCCTGGTTTGGACAACCTAAACGGGAGCCTCTGTGACATCACTTCCAAATCCTGAACCGTCGAAAAACTCAAGAAGCTTCAGGAACGGCCTAACGTAGGCATCCGAATAATGAACTCCTACTACTGTTGATAATATAAATCCTGCATTACCTGAAGGACCCTAAACTATGGGAATGTTGGATATTTCCTTATTATGGGTAATGCAGGATCTATATCATCGACCGTAGTATACAGTATTCAAGTACTCCTTTGGCTTCCTTCATGAGTATGTTTCATGTGTAGAAGCCTCGAATCCCTGCTCCAACGATCAAGGCCCCTACTTAAACGATCATGGAGGTTAGCAACTAGTGTTACTATTAGGGTATCGCTACCTATCACCCCAATAAAGGTATTTATCTTTTATAACCTTACTTACTACGTCACAAAACTCGCCAAGTAAAGCAAGCCCAAAGCAGGCCCCGGGTCGTTCAACCAACTGCCTGGCTCCTGAGGCTTCGGCGCGCCGTCTAAGCTGTCGAGCAGGGCGACGATGGTGCTGAGTTCGGGGTTTTAGGGTTTAGGGTTCAGGGTTTAGGGTTTTAGTGTTTAGGTTTGAAGGTTTTCGTTTCGGGGCTTGGGGTTTAGGGTGCTGAGCTTCCGTAGGCTGTAGATGAGTAAGGGGTTGCCAGGTTTCGGAAACTCTCGACAGGCAGACTATCTGAGGCCTATACCCTGAGATTTCAATCCTGAGCCCAAACTCAACCCTCAACCCTAAACTTCCTAAACCCTACTTAAAGGATCATGGGACTAAGTAACTGGGGTTATAAATAAGGTAACTATACTTAACATTACTTCTAACCCCAATTAAGGTACTTATGACCTTACTTACTAAGTCCCATGAGCCTTTAAGTAAACCCTAAGCCCTAAACCCTAAACCCTAAAACCCCAAAACTGTAGAACCCTACAACTTGTTGAACAAACCTCGACTCCGAGTCCCGACACTGCGATCTCCCAGAACTCCACAGTTCCTTAGACTTTAGGGTCTATATGGTTAACTAGGGCGTAGGGCCTTTAGGCTTTAGGGTTTGGGGTTTAGGGCCTTCAGGGTTTAGGGTTTAGGGCATTTAGGCTTTACATTAACCCTGAAGAACCTACCTTTTTAGGGCTCCTGAATATGATTTCCTTATATAAGTCCTTAAAAGGGTAGTTTATTCCGGGCTAAGGTAGGGTTTATGGTCTAGGGGTTTAGAGTTTTGGATTTAGGGCAACTACTTAAAGGATCATGGGACAGAGTAAGTAGGTTCTAATTGGGGTTATAAGTCCCCTAAGTGGGGTTATCCTAACTATAACCTACTTATAACCTTACTTACTAAGTCCCATGAGCCTTTAAGCAGAGTCTCAAGAATCGCGAATCTTAGGCAAACCCGACCCTGTAGCCCCAAAGCCTAAACAATCGTAGGTTAAGTATGATCCCAGAATTCTTAGGGTTTCTGATTTCAACCCGTCAAACATGGACCATCCTAAACCCAAATTCCCAAGTTCACCGAATCCTAGACTCTAAACCCTTTCAAACCCAAATCCCTAAACCCTAAACCCTTTCAAAACCCTAAGCCCTTTCAGACCCTAAACCCGTGCCCCGACACCTGTCGGCTTCTCGTCGACCACGAGCCTTTGTGAGGGTAATGACTGTATGGGTTTAGGGGTTAGAGTTTCGAGTTCCGGGTTTAGGGTTTGGGGTTTGGGGTTTGAGCTTTAGGGTTTAGGGTGTTTCGGCTCAGGGTGTTTAGGGTTTGTCGGGTTTCATAAGGGTTTAGGGCTTTTCGGGTTTCTAGCGATCTTCGAAAGGGGCCAGAATCTACCGATCCCGGGTTCCGGGGGGTTCAGTCGGACCTGGGAGCCTGGGGGCTTAAGCTGTAGCTTTGTTGGTGGGTTGGATTAGGGTTGGGGGGCGAGGGCTTATGGGTTTAGGGGTTAGGGGTTAGGGTTTAGGGTTTAGGGTTTAGGGGTTAGGGTTTAGGGTTTAGGGTTTAGGGGTTAGGGGTTAGGGATTAGGGTTTTTAGGGGTTTGGGTCTGGGACTTAGTTGCTTCGAGGTTCGGTCGGTCAGGTGTTTAGTGGCCAGGGTTTGGGCATTTAAGGATTTGGGGCTGAGGCTTGAACCCCAAGCTCGTCCTCTCAGGTCCTGCGGAAAAGTGTGCTTTGACGGGTTCTGGAACTCTACACCCAACGGTTCAGGGTTTAGGGGCTTGGGGTTTGGGGGTACGTTGGGGTTCGGCGTGCTGACGACATGACTGCAACTGTGCAAAAGCTGTTGAAAGCTACCCACGCTACAAGCTGTGAAGTTCATGCATGTACTTCTACGTAGTAGGACAGCGGGAGCAATCAGGTAAACCCTAAACCCCTAAACCCCTAAAACATTCCATGCCCAACACTTCAGGCACTCACATGTGCACCGCGCTAGCATGGAAGATTGCTGCAATGCTCACTTGTCGATAACCGACGGCACAGGCTTGCAAGGTGCTGAGGCGCTCACAAAACACGGCTTTCTCAAGAGTGTAAAGTATGCAGTTCTCCATTGATTTTATCGTTCGCGGCCAAGAGTGAAGCAGTACAATCTGGACAATCATTGATGAATGTACCACCCGTACTGCCATAGCAAGACGGCCAGATCATGGTGGTGATTCCGAGTGGCCAACTCAAGAGCTCGCCTGTCGTCCATGTCACGGACATATGGCGAAGCCCGGGCCTCCAGAAGAATCTGCGCATGGTTGCGGTGGCCGTGAAGCGCAGCATAGTGCAGAGGTGTCATGTCCTGGTAGTTCCGCTGGTTGACGCAAGCCCTGGCCTGCAACAGCACCTCCAGGCACGTCTCACCGTCCGCACAAATTGCTGCGTGATGGAGGGGAGCTAAGTAGTCGCCGTCTGTCAGGTGAATGTTAGCGTTGTGCTTCAACAATAAAGCAAGGATGTTCTCCCTGCCCAGCATTGCCGCATGATGGAGAGGCGTCTTGGAAGTCCTGTCATCAAGGTTGACTACTATTTGCTTAAGAAACCCACAAAAAATAAATAATAATAACCCCTATATTACCCCCATAAGGAATATATTTTTTATTTTTTGGGGGTTCTTAAGCAAATAGTAGTTGACCAAAGACTCCACAACGCTCGAACAATCCAAGAGACTCTCCCACCAGCTATCCCACGGAAGACTGCCCGCACTTGTCACACTCCAAAGCGTTTCAAAGAAGGAGTCCGGCTCTGACGCATGGTCATAGGGATGGCTCATCTCACTAACCACATGCAACATCTGACGAACCTTCTCGTCGTGTCCATGGATTATCATGTCATGCAGCAGCGATGGCCGACCGTGAAATATATAGGGCCGTGCTGAAGATGTCCGTTGTGATGGAGGTCGCAGTGACGATAGCAACAGAAGACGAACGCTGTCGTTGCCATAGATCGCTGCAAGCTCAACCGGGGTTTGTGCAACGTTGTTCTGCTTTTGGCTGTCAGCCCTTTTCTGCAACAAGAACTGTATGCTTGTCTGCTGGCCGTAAAGTACTGCAAAATGGAGAGACGTCCAACCTTCGCAGTCAACCTTGTCCAGCTCCGCCTGGGCCTCCACCAACAACTCTGCAGCCCCAACTTCCCCTGTTGCAGATGCACGATGAAGGGCCGTTCTTCCTGCACTATCGATTTGGTTAGGATCTTGAAAGCATTGTTGCAGCAGGCGTTGAACCTCGTCCAAAGCACCTCTTGCGGCTGCCTCTGCAAGCTTATCCACCTGATCGGTAACAAAATCAATCAACACGAGGGTCAAGTCGAGAGGGGGCTGTAATCGCATTAATCGCATGTCGTTGTGCAAAAGCTCTGCATCGTGCAGAAGCAATTGCCTGCGCGGTGAATGACAGCAAAACTTGCGTTCCCACAATTCCTCCTTCAGTTCCTTAACAGTTCTCCTGTCTCGCAAAGCTAGGTGCATCGTGATGTGCTTGCCAGACGCCATCCGCACATGCAGGTCCTTGGTCGAAGGCTCCATGCTCGACATGTTCACGGCAACCGCAGCTGGCTAGTGTACAAACAGACAAGACATCCTCCTCCGATGGGCAAGGTAGGCACCTACCTGATCTCGCTGATGAAGTTGGAGTGTAATTCGAAAGATGGGCATGCTCTGGTTAAGCCGCAATTCTGCAGCAACAGCTGCCTACTGACATGTACTGATGGTCGAGGCTCCCATGTTGCGCCGCGACGGGAAGAGATTGATGGGATCCATTTTCGTCTGACATGGTAGAAATATGTCGAAATGCTGGAATCATCGCAACAACACCTAAAGCGCAAAGTCTGAAGCCTTGGAGAAGCGGTGGGGCGACACATCAATCTCATTCAGATCTTGGCCCTTCTCTCCAACCCCGGATAGGTAGAGATCTAGCTAGAGAATCCACTTCCAAACCAGCCTAACTTCCGGAATATTCCAGGCGTCTTTAGTAGGATTTCAAGCCTATATCGGAATCACTGGGTATTGGGTTTTCAGGGGCACGGCACGAAACCCTTGACCCGGCGCCATGTGCACTGCCCTACGCCCACAGACCCCCAGCCCCCAACTCAACCCTAACCCTTGACGCCAAAATCTAACCCTAGATCACAACAAAATGCAAAACCCGACAGCTGAAGCATCCCTGAAAGCCGCCATCCTCGAACAAAATCAAAAACCCTGAACCTTAATCCTGTTCTGGGGTTCAGGGGTTAGGGCCCCCGCACGGCTTTAGAGGCCCCCAAGAGGCTAGACCCAAGAGTAACCTAGGAATAAAAAGGGTGCCCTTTTTGGTTTAAAGGGGCTTATAAGGGAACCTGAACCCTCAAAAAAGGGAATAAGTGCCTATTTGGGCTCACCCTAAACCCTAAACCCTATAAACCCTAAACCCTAATGCCTAAACCCTCAAAAAAGGGAATAAGGGCCTACTCTGGCCCCCAAAAGGAGAAGAAGCCGAGCCCGCTGCACCCACCAGCGGTGGAAATCCTGCACCAGGCTCCTTTCCGCAGCTGGTTTAGGGTTTAGGGTTTAGGGTTTAGGGGTTTAGGGTTTAGTGCGCCGCTCAGGCTTCAGATCTAGGAATTACATGTTTGGGGTTCAGGGTTCAGCATTTTTTGATAGTATAGTAACAACAAGGAACCCTATGGGAATAAACCCTAAACCCCATACCCTACACCTCAAACCCATTTTGGCTTCTACATTCAGGGTTCAAGGCTTTTTTTGGAGCTCCTTTTTAATGTCTGCCAGCAACTGACGTTTTTGTCAAGGCCCAGGGTTTAAGGATTTTCGCTTCTGTTTTAGGATCTGGGGATTTCCGAAAATTAGGGGTACCTTTTTCTGGTGTCCTTTTAATGAGGATCCTACTATCCAGGGTACCATATTAGGGTCCCCTTTTTTCGGAAACTCCCATCTATAAATGTTGGGGTACCTCGTACCGTAGTTGTATGAAGGCCGATAAGGGGCTGCTACTACGCTATACTGAACTTAGAACCCTAGCAAAAATTATGATTTTAGATGTTTCTTAGGGATTAAATAATAACCAGAAATTATAAATTATTTCTAAGTACCCCTAAGTACTAGTTAGAGCTAGGCTGTGCGCACGCAGGTCGACGAGGGTGTAGAACGACAGGTTTGGCGGTACAGGGATTCAGGGGTTTAGGATTAGGGTTTAGGGTTTAGGATGTTACGGTTTGGTGCCCTGTGTTCCGGAATCTGACTTTATCTAGGTAAGGAAGATCTCTTGGCTCCGGTATCTCCTGCTTGCATATTAGGCTTCGAGCTTCTGGTGATACGACAGAAGGTCGCTGGAGCGTTCTGGGCGGAGTTTACGGCTCAGGATTTGGGGTTGAGGGGGTAGGATTTGACGGCTCAAGGTCTAAGGGTCTGAAGGCGTACGCAAAGCTCAGAGTGACTTTCGATTCTTGACTCTTGACTGGAGATATCACCCCACGGGTCCAAGTACATATAATAATCATATACTCTAACAAACAGTAGCATATATAACTACTATCCGAAACCTAAGTACCTGATTGTTGGGTCCCTTGGACCCCTAGGGTAAGCACTGGGGATATTTGGCGGATCATGGGACTTGGTAAAGCTGTAAGTATCCTGATTGGCCCTATAATATAAGCAATTATGTGTACAGTTGCCCCAATAATAACCTAATTACGAAGTCCCATCCCTTTATATAAGTACAAGTTAAACCCTAAACGCTAAACCTCCTAAACCTTAAACCCTAAACCTGCGGGCCCTCCTCAAGGGGCCCCTTACAAGGGCCCTTAGGGTCCTTAAAGGTTTAGGGTTTAGGGTCTAGGATTTAGGGTTTAGGGATTAGGGTTTAGGGTATTTGGGTTCCTTATTGCTGGGTATTTGGGGTATTTTAGAGGGTAGTTGGGGCGTCTGGGTTGAGGCTTGGGTTTGTTGTCTGGGGTTCGTGATCTGGCACGATTTGATGACTGGTCGGGTACGTGCTGCGGGAGTAGAGTAGAATCGTTCAGGCTCTACTAAGCTGTCTCCCAAAGCCGTAGCCGTAACCCGAAAAGCCCCAAACCTGAATCAAGAAACCCTGAACTAGAGTTGAAACTCAATACTAAGCCCTAAACCCTAAACCCTAAACCCTAAACCCTAAAGCCCTAAACCCTAAACCCCTAAAACCCTAAACCATAAACCCTATCAGAAAGACCTGGACCCTGACATTATCGAACTTTCCGCAGTCCTTGTCAAGCGATGAAAAAGTTCTGGTCGACTTCAAGCAAGCCCGCACCACCCTAAACCCCCAAACCCTCCAATTACCCTAAAACCCTAAACCCCTAAAACGCTAAAACCCTAAACCCTTCTAAACACGACGCTAAGAACTGACTTACGTACCAACTCTAACCTAACCCGCAGACCTGTCTTACCTGCAGTTGAGCCTTGCTTGAAGGATCAGCTAGGGCTATGGGGGTACAACCATACTGACAGCTACGTCCTATGTACTGCGCCCATCAAAACACTCAAGCACCCTAAACCCATCCCCTGAATCCTGAAAAAACAAACTGAGCCAAAAGCCTAGGCCACCGAAACGTCTCGTGACCCTAAACCCTGGAATTTCTACGCCTTGATCCCTAAGCGTGCCTAAGACCTATATTAATATTAATCCGTGTTCCCTAAATCCTAGAGCCGAACCCGAAACCCGTGACTAGAATCTAGAACTCATTGCGCCGCGTCCTCCGAAGGGCGTGTGCCTGGGCGATAAAGATCTGTACGGCGGGTCTTTTTTGATGGCTCCTCTATAAGGTTTGCATAATGCATAAGATCCCCTTCCAGGGTTTTGAGGCTTCCACAAGACACCGTCAAGGTTCGAAAGGCTTTCATGAGATCCATGTTCAAGGGCTCTGCAAAGGGATTTTGATTTAGTAATTGCGTAGGATCTTGGTTTGGGGTCTAGTAGTCAAAGGTGTATGTGCGACCACCACAAGCCGACAATTTAACACTTAACGCTTTAAAAACTTCAACCCCTGAAACTGCAACTCCACGATTTCATTTAAAGGGTTAGGAGTTGGGGATTAGGAGGTTTCTGGCCTAAGGTTCAACTCTTCGGGATCCGGATTTGGAGATTACAGTTTGGAGAGTCGGAGATGCCGGCTTGGCGATTGTAGGGTTTTTAACCTACTATGGCGACCTTTCTCCTGCAAGCAGCCTGCTCTCCAAGGGCTTGTAGAGGTGAATCATTTCTCAGATACACGTAGACCTCGCTGTTAGGGTTTAGGCTTTCTGGGAACTGTAAATTCCGGGTTCAAGGCTCCAAGCTCAGAATTTCAGGTTGTAAAACCCCGGTCTTGAACTTTCAGACAGTTGCAGTGGTAGCCCCAGCAGCAGAAGCAGTAGTAGGGGTAGTGGTAGGTGGCAGTGGCAGTGGCAGTGGCAGTGGCAGTGGCAGTGG